ACAATGAGTCTGCGCTGGCAGTCCGAACGAAGAGAGCCACCGATGCCTCATCGCCGGCTGGATCGATGATGCTCTATGAGGCTCCGCCTCGACTAAAGATATACCGGAAAAAGATTCAGGTAGAGTCCTCGAACTATCGGATGTCGAAGACGCCTCTCATCGGAGTCAACTGGCAGGGGTTACAATCAAAGAGCCCCTCGAACCCTTCCGAGCCGAGGGGAACGCTCCAAGCGAGTCATTTGGGGCAGCAGCGATCGAGGATTTGCCTACCTTTCCCGCTTTTTCCGTAGGGGTGATCGGGAAGCTTAAGCTCTGGGAGCCCTCGATCTAGACAGGCCTCATGATGAATAAGATCAGTTTTGTGACCTATTTACCGGTATTGAGGACGTTGCCGGTGCCGGTGATGAATCGGATCTTTTTCACGGATTGCGGCGGGCTTTGAATCAGGTGAGCCTTTAATTTTTTTTTGTCGGTACTGTCTTTATGTTTGTTTTTCGTTAACTTCGCTTCTTGTTTCTTTGTAGGCTGTGGCAGTCCATCGAGAATAATGTTCTCATTCCCAGAATGAGCTGCATCGATATGCGGCCGACCTACACCGCGCTACTGACGAGAGAAACTCCCTTAGACTTTCCTTAGGGCAGAGAGAGGAGGAAATAAAAGACCTCCGAGCTGAGCTGGCCAAGGCTTATCAAGATTAGAATGATTTGTGTGAGCAGGTAATGATGCTTTTGAAAGCGTATGGGCTTGATACCGGAACTATAGCTAACATTTCGGTCTCACAGCTGCAGCAAAAAATCGAGATGATTGGGAAGCTTCGTGAGGAGGTTGACGTGATAAGGATGGAGTCATTGCAGTGGAAAGAAGGTATGGACCGTTTTGCTGCAGAAAAAGAGACCGCTCGAGCCCAGTTATCGTCGTCTGAAACCCAACTTCAGAAAATGAAGGAAAAAGGCCTGGTTCAAGCAAGAAGAATTGAGGAGCTTGAGGCTCGGTTGGCCTCTGTACTCACCAAGGTCGAATCTGATGCTGAAAAGGCAAAGGCCGATGCGGATGCGCTCGTGGCCATCTATCGGGCTGATGCTGAAGCTGCCCAAATCAGTGAATGATTCGAACTCGAATTAATGTAGCCCGTAGGCTTAGTCGAGTGAATGATTCGAACTCGAAGTAGTGTAGCCCGTAGGCTTAATGGTCGAGTGAGTGTTTGCTCGAACTCGAAATAAAAATAGCCCGTNGCTTGGTCGAGTGAATGATTCGAACTCGAAGTAATGTAGCTCGTAGGCTTAATGGTCGAGTGAGTGTTTACTCGAACTCAAAATAAAAAATAGCCCGTAGGCTTGGTCGAGTGAATGATTCGAACTCGAAGTAATGTAGCACGTAGGCTTAATAGTCGAGTGAGTGTTTGCTAGATCTAGAAATAAAAAATAGCCCGTAGGCTTGGTCGAGTGAATGATTCGAACTCGAATTAATGTAGCCCATAGGCTTAATGGTCAAGTGAGTGTTTGCTCGAACTCGAAATAAAAATTGCCCGTAGGCTTGGTCGAGTGAATGATTCAAACTCGAAGTAATGTAGCCCGTAGGCTTAATGGTCGAATTGTATCTTAATTCTGATTGCACAATAAATCTCAAAATAGAGGAATTTTCATTGGATATAAGATGCCGATAAAAAAGAGAACTTTCTTCGCACGTTATTACACGCCTGGGTTCGGGCCAATCTATATGAGCATGGTTCGCTTCGACCATTTGGCTCTTATAGTTTTTCCTATTGGGACCCTGTTGCTATGAAATAACTTTCTTGCGGGACCTCGGATATTGTTATAAATGTTGCACGACCA